TGTTAGACTTTATTAAAGTTTATCCTCGTTACTCATTCAAGCCGTCTCCAACCATTATTAGTCTCAAAGTGGGTTCCTCATCATCGAATTTAAAACAAAGAATGAGCCTTTCTGAAAGAATACATAAAACCCAAGGGTTTGTGGTGAAGGAATCCCAAATGGTGGCAAAGCACAAAAGCCTGGCCCCTACCAGACCTGCCCCCTCCCTCCATGTAATCACTGGGATCACCAAAGCCATCAGTGAACAAACCAATGGTTAACCTCAGAGACCTGTGTAGCAGGAACTTGTTTGTAAAGGAGAGAAAATAGGGGTTGGGACACAGGAAAAGGTTCAGAAGGAAGTTGAGACAGACAGGAAGCTAATTAGATAAGGGAACAAAAGAGGTGACATGGATACAGGAAAAGTGAGGTTGGGAAAATGTTACCAAAGTATTGAGATCCAAAACCCACAGAGGCATAAGAGGATCCAACTACTGGGAGTCCAAAAAAAGGAAATGCAGACCTACGGGATACCATTGCATGGGCTGTCATATGATGTGGGGGTTGTGGCATACTGGCCCCTGAAGTTATTGGTTTGCAAACCTATCAGCACAAACCCCGATATCCGGTGATGGAGGAGAACAAGATAGTGGGCCAAAGGTGTCTCACTGAAAAGAGAAGAGTCAAAGGAAATGGGAGCCAAAGTAAAAACATAACATACCTAGTGTATTAAATCCAGGAAAGGAGGAGAAGGCCTGGGCACTTCCACTGGAGCTAAATGTGACTGAGTGGCATAGGAAGGGGGAGAAACCAGGCTGTCAAAATCTCCATCCTTTCATTCAGATACCCCTAAACAAGGTATGAGAGAATAATCCACAGATAGAGCAGGGGTCTGCATGAATGTGGCCAACTCCCAGCGAATTGAGGCTGTAACACTGTCCTCCAACAACTGTGGACCCAAAGCCACTGAAGTCAAAGTAATGATAACTGTAGTAGGAACAGCTGTGGTAGCAGTAGGATCCACCTCAACTAAGAGTGGAAGGAGAAAAATTCAATCAGAGAGCTTCAAAGAATCACATGTTGAAATAAATGACACATAATGCTACCATGTACAAACTAAAATTTCAGAACACAAGTTTAACAAATGTAAAGAAAACTAAGTTCCCATAAAAAAAGGAATTGTTTAAAAATTCTGTAAAGTAAAGTATGAGTGAAAAACACGTCTTACCACCAGAAGTGCCAATCAAGAAATAATTTTGGGCTAAGCTACATAGAGGGAGTCAGCTGTGCTGGGAGTTGTGTCATGCTCCTATAGTTGTTATAAGATACCTGATAAAAAAAAGATAAGAAATTGTATAATGGATACATATATATTACTAGTAAAGATACTGATGCAACATGCAAGGGAAACTTCAATTTTAGACATACTGATTGGGACTGTACAGGTCAAACAGCAACCGATATAGTAGTGTTAGAGAGCAAACCAGAAGGATACCACTTTAGATCTTTGTTGATGATTACTGATGATAAGATTACAAAAGTTAAGTTGGAAGAACAGTTGTGAAAGAGTAGTCATTGAATAATTATATTTGATGTTTCACAATATGTTGAGATCAAGGAAATATATATTTCATTTCCTTATTTTCAGTAAAACAATTTTAAGGCCACAAAACAAAATTTATTATTAGTGAATTGGTATAATCAATTAAAATACAACGTGAAACAGAATTAGAAAATTTTGGAAAGAATATTGATTTTGACTTGTTGGAAAAAGTTTAGGGATAGAAGGGTTATCTTATGAGAATAGTTAAGATTTCTTATTTTCTCTTGAGAAAAGAAAGGTAACAAATGATCATATTGAAATATGCAATACTATCCAGGGTAATTTAGGATAAATGCCCCTAATCTGTCTGTACTGTATTCTGAAGACAACAGAATGAGAGAACACAAGTTCAAAATTTAGAAAAACAAGCTAAGTTCTAATTAAGAAAAATTTTTTTTTTCTACCAGGGTGACTGGCTTATGGAATGAGTTACCAGCAACAGTAATGTAGGCCAGCACTTTAGAAAGGTTTAAAAAAGGAACTGAAGATTTCCTGAAAAATAGAATATGGGCTTAAGATTTTACTTTTTCTCAAAAGTGGGTGTTCAAGAACAGCCTTGAAGAACCAAATGTTCCCTTGTTGTCTGTATGTTAAGTAACTCATTCCAGCTTAAAAGAACATTCCCAAAACAGCCACATGTATTTTTATCAATAAACAACCGGGCTGTTTAAAGTTTTGCATAATCTGAACATTATATAGTGAGTTAATTATAAGCTTTTTGCATGGAAAATTTCCACTCAGATATAGATTTTGTGTATGCTACTGAAAATTTTTAAATTATATTAAATCCCAATGTTGTAAGTATAGAAATATGATCCCATCTTTATAACCAAGTATTGAATATTGAAAAAACTAGATATGTGCATGTATCATAATGGTTTTAAAAATCATTCAATTCAAATTTGGCTTGTTACAATGTAAGACTTCTTTTATCACATGATTTCATACATGTATCTGGGGTTTTAGGGTAACTTTTGGTCATGACCATACTTAATAAATAGCATTATATTCTCAACAGATTTAAGACTGTATTTATATACAATAATTTAACATTTATTCAAAAAGTTAAAATTATTCAAGCAAGTGACCCTTCAGGCTATGAAACAGAATGTTTTGTCCTAGTCTTATGTCTTTTAATATATATCCACAAAAACGTTTTGGTTTTATTCACATTTCTAAAAATACTGTGTACTTTTTCTGAGAAGTAAAGGAATAGAGAATAGAGTCAGAAATCATCAAAAACATTTTGTTTTCCACTAGACAATACAAGAAACAAAGATAACATTTTGTTACTTTGTATTTGATATATTGTTTGTGTTTCAATTTGTGTCTTCCTGTGGATGCTTAATACCTGGCTTTTTGTGGTCGTCGGTATTCTTTGCTGCATGAGAGATATCACACACACACACACACACACAAAATAAAAGGTAAAAGACCATTTTACCCATCAAAACAACACACACGCATAATGTAGCTCTTTGCAGCCATGTGATTAAGTAAACACCACATTAATATTTTTCCAAAAAGAAAAATGTCCATTTCATAACCTTTCCTTTCCAACAAGAACTTGATTTGGTATTCTACATTTTACCTTTAAAGAAATTTTAATAAACATTTATTTACAATTATATAGACTGTAACTTGTATGTTGCATAGCTAAAAGTATTATACTGTGATGTAATACAGAATGAACTGCATTTAAATAAAAAGCATCTCTTTTTACAGCTCCTGTATAGAGATTGTTTTAAATTTTTTAAGTTATAGATGCATATGCATCACTGGTTAAGTGGTAAGACTGGTAGATTTCTACATCCAAGCCTAGTAATGGTCATCTCAGTAGGCTTAAGTAGTATTGATGTGAAATCATAATTTGAAAAAGTATGTAACTTTGAAATGTAAAAACCCCAAGAAAAGTTACTCATGAATACTGATTTCTTGGTTGAAAATAGATAATTAATCATTTATTTTACTTACTTGTGTCCCTGATCAAAAAGGAACTAGTTTTTGAAAGTTTGCAAGCCTATTTGCTGTTGGTGTAGTAGCTCTAGAGCAGTGGTTTCTCAAATTTTTATTTCACCATAGCCACCTTCATGAACCAAAGACAATTTCATGGAACTCATACTGGCATAGATCAAACTGCAGAAGCTGAATCTATAATGTATAAAAGTGACACTTACATTAGTAAATGTGAAGGTTAATAGCATTTTCAAATAAAGCATAGTTTTGATTTCATCAAACACAGTATCATTCCTATATTTATTAATGAGCTATAATATGAAAATTCAAACTTTAACATTGCAGACCCCTCTTTAGAATTCTTTCAGACCCCAAGTTAAGAACCAGGGTTCTAGAGCTCTACTGTACTGCCTTAACACATAAAGATAAGTAACACAAAACAATTCATAAATGACAAAAAATGACATTTACATACTGTGAAGTAAAATCAACCAGGCACAGACAGAGTACCACCTGCATGGTAATTCCTGTACTAGTGGTACTAATAAAAACTCTTTGGTCTAATTTGGCAGTGAATTACTTATTTAATGCACATCAGTAGACATTGATGTCATATGTTTACAATAATTTACAAAGCACTATGTCACAACAAACACCTTGTACAACCAGTATCATGGGTACAATAATCAACATAACTGTACATCACAAATCAACCAACAATACACATTTTGTACAACCAGTATCATGTGTACAATAATCAACATAACTGTACATCACAAATCAACCAACAATACACATTTTGTACAACCAGTATCATGTGTACAATAATCAATATAATTGTACATCACAAACCAATCAACAACACACATCTTGTACAACCAGTATCATGTGTACAATAATCAACGTATTTGTACATCACAAACCAATCAACAACACACATCTTGTACAACCAGTTTCATGTGTACAATAATCAACGTATTTGTACATCACAAACCAATCAACAACACACATCTTGTACAACCAGTTTCATGTGTACAATAATCAACGTAATTGTACATCACAAACCAATCAACAATACACATCTTGTACAACCAGTATCATGTTTACAATAATCAACATAATTGTACATCACAAACCAATCAACAATACACATCTTGTACAACCAGTATCATGTGTACAATAATCAACATAACTGTACATCACAAAACAATCAACAATACACATCTCATACAGCCAGTATCATGTGTACAATAATCAACAAAACAGTACGTCACAAACCAATCAACAACACACATCTTGTACAACCAGTATCATGTGTACAATAATCAACAAAACAGTACGTCACAAACCAATCAACAACACACATCTTGTACAACCAGTATCATGTTTACAATAATCAACATAACTGTACATCACAAAACAATCAACAATACACATCTTGTACAACAAGTATCATGTGTACAATAATCAACATAACTGTACATCACAAAAAAATCAACAATACACATCTTGTACAACCAGTAGCATGTGTACAATAATCAATATAACTGTACGTCACAAAAAAATCAACAATACACATCTTGTACAACCAGTAGCATGTGTACAATAACCAACATAACTGTACGTCACAAACCAATCAACAATACATATCTTGTACAACCAGTAGCATGTGTACAATAATCAACATAACTGTTCGTCACAAACCAATCAATAAATTTCTTGCACTACCAGTATCATGTGACTGTTGAGTTATATCATACACTGTAGCTTACACTTAGACAAAATAATTGCACAAAAAGTAACTGAGAAAAATACTGTTAATAGACATTGTGTGTGTAATGCAATCCATGTGTAATGATATGATAAAATATGTAATGATTATATGCCAAAAGATACCAGCATCTGAAGGAAGAAATAATGCTAACTTAATTCCACACAGCATGGTTAGAAAACAGTTCAGTTTCAAGGGACCTTCAGAACAGTGAAAGTAAATTCAACTGTTTCTTAACCGTGTGTGGCATCAAAAGCTATGCAGTTATATTTCTTCTCAGAAGTAGTAAAGTGCACATGAAACTGTCAAAACTACTTTCCAAGTCTTTGTTCTAATATTTTATTCCAACAGCAATAGAATCACAGTCAAAATGTAGACTAAGTGGTAATTAATGTATATTAGTAATAAAAAAAGTAACTGATTTGCAACTAGACTTTAGGCAGCTGTAGGCTACTAGTAAGTCATTACATATTAATTTGATATTACTGACTGGTACCTGATATCTTAGAATAACATAACTTGAGAAAAAAATGCATGTCTGTCCATCATAGTTGCACTTACCTGAGCTGATTTTTTCTCACAGTCAGCACTACATATTTCTGTCCAGGGTCAGTCATTGAACTGGTTAACACTTTATGTTTCTGAAGGTAAAAATATTGAATTTATTGACAAGTTTGACAATTTTTTCAATATGAATTCAATAATGATTAGTTTTTAGACACAACTCTACATAACATGTTCTACTAGCAGAAAACAGATGTCTGTCCATCCACTGCATATGAATATAAAAAGAAATATGCAAAAAGAACAATTAACAATTAAAGAACAATTTATATGTATAGGTTTCAGGCCTGCTAAGGGCAATTCTTATGATACACATGAATGTGTGTGTTGTTAAAATGTAACAATAAACGTTTTTCTACTGCAAAAATTTTAAATTATATTCTTCATGTAATGTTGTAGCATCAAAATGATTTTTTAAAATCCCATTTTCAGAGTACTGTTTGTCCTTTTATACCAATAAAATATATAACATTTTTATATTTTAAAGAAAATGCACATGCAATAAACATGTTTGAACTTGTTTAGTTTGCATTTAATTTCAAACAGATTTGCTGTGTAATCTTATGAGGTTTTTTTTATAACTTCAATGTTTTATTGCATCCCGAGAATTCTATTAACAAGGGTAAAAACATGCTTTTCAAGGAGGGGTGTTATAAAGTCATTCTGCACAAACAAGGATGATTAATTAAAACCTTTAAAAGTGGGCAAGTACTCACAATATCAACATTGCCCAAGAGGGTTTTTAAGTTTCAAAAGAACTTTTAGAAAGAGAGAGTATCTATCTTCATGGCCAAATATTTGATTTTTTTACAATTTGTGTGGTTTGATAATGGGTGAAATACTACAATTCTATACATTTTGTGGAAGTTCTACACATTCTACTAGTACTAGTTAGTACTAAAGTTAAATGTCAAATAATATTTTCTTTCCCACTAATATCTAAAAGTGACAATTCACAAACTAAATTTATAATATCTTATAGTCCTGCTGGGATCATTCCTAATCCTAGCCATTTTCATTTTTTTTAGTTTAGCCTACATAAGAAACAATAACTCTTCTAAATTAGTAAATATGAATTTTGGAAAGTGAACAGTTATAAACTTACATCAACTTGAAAGTACTTTACTAACAGTAAGAATTAAA